AAAAATTTCTCTTTTCAAAATCTTTGCAAAAATGCCACTTTTTCAAAAAAAAAAGTTCTTATATCATTTATGTTTGGGTTAACTATATTGTATTAGAGTTTAGTTTTGAAGGTTTAAAGGGTTTTAGGGGTCAAAATATTTTTTAGGGTTTATAATTTTAATATTTAGACTTTTAAAATCCATAATTAATGGTATTTTTGCAAATAGACACTCCTAAGTGGCATTCTTACAAATGTACACACCAAAAGTGACATTTTTGCAATTGTCCCTATAAAATTTGAAATCAAAAGTATTTACTGCAATGTATTTTGATATAAGCATGACAAGTAAACAAAATTATAACAAACGAGATCGCGACATATATTTAATATTGATCTAATGTGTTAAACTTAAAATTGATAGAAAAACAATTAAAATGTAAAGTAATTGTCAAGTTACTAATCAAATAATAAAAAATAAAATTTTTAATATACTCCATACTGATTAAGTAACAAAAATTAAGATAAAATATAAACATAACATAAGCCATACAAGAACAAATAATAAATACAGAATAAAAAATGTCAATTGAAAAAAAAAAGATGAATGATAAAAGAAAGGTATATAAATATGAAAAACAATAGTTAGAAAGGTTATAGAAACCTCAATTTAAAATTTTAAAGATATACACAGCCATGTAAAAAAAAAATATAAGAATATTTAGTTTATCAATTATAGAGTTATAGAATTTTGATCTATGACAAAATTATAACTCACAAGATTGCGACATATATCTCATATTGATCTAATGTGTTAAACTTAAAATTAATAAGAAACAATTAAAATATAAAATAATTATCAAGTTACTAATCAAATAATAAAAAATAAAATTTCTAATATTATCCGTACTGATTAAGTAACAAAATTTAAGATAAAATATAAACATAACTTAAGCCATAAAATGAACAAATAATACATACATAATAAAAAATGTTAATTGAAAAAAAGAAAAAATGAATGATAAAAGAAAGGTATATAAATAAGAAAAACAAAAGTTAGATGAGAAATTTCAAAAAATGCCACTTTTCAAGTGCCACTTTACAAAAATGCCATACTTTTGAAATCTTTACAAAAATGCCACTTTTTCAAAAAAATTTTTTTTATATTATTTATGTTTGGGTTAATTATGTTCTA